TTTTTTTTTTTTTTTCTGTATTTAGGACAGGGTCTCACTACATAGCTCAAACTCATAGTGATTCTCCTGTTTACAGCCTCCCAAGTTCTGGGATTACAGGCACGCACCACCACACCCAGTCTCAGTTGCCATCTCAGTGAGCCCTGCAGGTGGGGCCAGCACAACACACTGGGGATCGAACCCAGGCCACTGCATCTGCCTAAGCAGACGCTTTAGTCCACTGAGCTATCAGGCTGGCCCAAGAGTCAATCATTTTCATAGATTTCAGTATTACAAATCCTATACTTTCTGTCTATTGCCATATCTATAGTGCCTAGGCCCACGTCTACCACAAAGTAAGCCCTTAGTATTTGATCAAATGAAATGATAGGAAAGACACAAATAAGGACCTGTAGAGAAGCAAGGGACATTTCCTGAGCCTTACGTGGAAGGGCAGCTGTAGTTTACACACTCAGAACCCAGGGGAGGAGAGAGGTCATTTCTAGGCAAAAAGAAGCATGTGCTCAACGGCACAAAAGCAAAATGAACCAGAAATCCAAGAGCAAATATAGTATGTGAAGAGCAGGAGACTGAGGACAAAACAGGGAGAGGAGGCCCAGAGTACAGACAGGCATGGCTGAGATGGGGACATAGGGCATTATTCATCAGGAGATGGAAATCCCCATCATTTGCCACAGTCCTAGGATACTACACAGAGGTAGAACTGGGCAACTAACCAGCAGAGAGTGGTGTGGGAGTGAGGAAGAGGTGAATCGGTGGTAAGGTTTTGAACAAATTCAGTACCACATCTATATCTCATTCATCTCCAGTGCAAGGTATTAAACTTATGGATCATATTTTTATATGCTTTTGTACACCAACGTTCTGATAAATGAAAACATTTTGTTCCACTTACATTTTAGGATGCCATTGTTTGAGAAAATAGATGATACAGAAGTAAAACAAGAAAAGTAAGAAATCTGAAGCCTGGCTTTAATAATGATATGAACCTGTGGCCTGTGATCGATCTACAGGCAGCTGTACGCCAAGACAAGAAGGAACAGCGGGACTCTTGAGGGATTATGTATCATTGATTGCAATTTTTTCTTGTCAGTCCAAGTTATACAAAACAATTTAAAGAATATTTGTAATTCAAAGTTAAAATAATTTTTGTTTCAATAAAAAGAGCATTGTAAATACTTAAGTCTCTGGTAATGGAGGGAGAGAAGGAGAGAAAAAGAGACAGAGATAGAGACAAAGACAGAGATAGAGACAGGCAAGCAAAGGGAGAGGCAGAGGCAGAAGCCACATCACTACCTTATGTAAAAGTCATGGACACAGTTATACTTAATTAAAAAATAAATAGATGAGTAATCAGACAAATATGATGAAAATTAAATAATTTACCATATTTCTATGGTTGACAAGTAAACAAAGGTGACAAATAACATATAAGTGTATTTTAAACACCAACTTTTTCATTTTTTATTGTTAGATATTCAGTCTTGGAATCTACCATAGACTGAAATTTAAAACCTGACATCTCTTCGTGTAAAATTACAAATGAAGGACACTCTTAGATTTTAAGGAGACAAAAGAAGAAAAGCAACTATTAGTTGCCACTTTTAGTCTTCTCTGTCTACATCTACAAATTCACTTGTAATGTGCCTCTTTTTCTTTTATGTAACATTTCAGGGTTTTGATTTGAAGAAAAAAAAATTCTGACCACTCTTCAAAAATTTACAGTTCTGTACATCACAATATAAATACATACTGATTTGACTTTAGTTCTAAGTATATGAGGTCCTCAATCAGTGGTTTACTGAAGTCTCCACTCTACAGGGGCCCACAGGAAATGGTTTTATTTTTCTCCCCTCATGCCCCCCACTGGGCCATGTGAATCTCCCATTCCTGCTGGGTAGAGATCCCTTAATGATACCCTGGACAGATTCCAAAACTTTCTTGGTCACTTTTTGATATTAAAAA